ATTAAGAATCGTAAACAGTGTGAAAATGTGAAGAAATACCATGGAATCACAATCCCAGTGAAAGGTACAGAGATATTCCACAAAGTGAGACACAGATGAAAGAGTTTTGGTTACAAAGTAATAAATACTTTATTTCTAAAACACTGTGGCCACAGTATTCTATGCCTTAACTAGAAAGTATAGTCATTACTTTCACAGTTACTAAAGTAACATAATCCTCCTAGCTCACTTCATCAATATCTTTTTAACTCTTTCTATACTGTAATATTACTTTTATAATTTCAAAGATTTAATTACACTTTAAGTATAAAGTAATTAGGACAATAAACTTTTGCTATGACCTAACACTTAGTTATACTACTCACCCCATTCTATAAATATATAATAGCAGATCACAAGTTACATAGAAAAAATAATAATTAAGCTTTGCACATAAGTCATATTGTCTGTCATTCTGATGTGCTGCTAGTAATATATGAAGGAATGAGACATCTGCCATTCCCATGGGTAAACTAAAGAGAATATATACATGAAATGTCGAAGAGCTCAGCCATCAACTTTCCACATTAAGCTAAAGGGTCTGCAAAAAAGGTATTAAACTTGGCTGCCTACAGCCTGCTGAGTGACTCCTCACTTATTGTAACACTGTCACTCACACTTTTGGAAATTATTTCTCCATTTGTGACAGCTTTATTTGCATGCTCACCATAAAAATTTCAGCAGTTCCAAAGAAGCTGAAGACTGTTAAATTAATTCAGTGACTAGAATTCATGGACTATACAAGTACTTTTCCAGTCCTTCCAGAGTCAAAGAAACACAGATGCAGCAGGAAAAGAACATGGAAGCCATTCAGTCTCTGTGATCAGTTCCTGGTCTAACTAACCCTGCGCTCAAAACAAGTGCAAGAAGCTCATAATCCAGAGTAATCATAAATGTGTTTTAAGTTTCAATTTCTCAACCTGTTGATGGTAAGTGAGTCTCAACTTTGCACAACCTGTTTATCCTAATGTTCAAAGTTAAAGGTAGCTGCTCTAAAGCAATGGTTAATAAAATTAAACAGTGTAGCTCAAATTACATAAAAGCTTCTTTAAAAGTGCTTTTATAAAACAGAAATTCAAACACCTACAACTAAACACAACTGAAAAACTTTCTAATTGAGTCTAAGAAAGTTCACTATCAGGTCTTATCAGTTTACATAAGATGTTTTGATTCTGTTATTTAGATTTGAGTGTTCATTTGTGCAGAATACTTTCTCTCAATGTATTTCACTTAATGTTGGCGTGATAGAAACTGTATATTTTAACCATGCTTATCTACTATTGATTTTTCGTATTAAAATGTATATAATTTATTTTGAAACTTTAAATAAGTTAAATGATTGTTATGGGCTGAATCGCGTGTCTCTCATTCCAAGTTCTTATGTTGGTGTTCTAACACCCAGTACCTCAGAATAGGACTATATGTAGAAATAAGTCCTTTAATGAAGAAATTAAGGTAAAATAAGGGCACATAGAACCCATCCCATATGAAGATAAGGACATAGACATACAGAAGGGAGACCATGTGAAGACACTGGAGTAAGACAACCATCTACAAGACAATTGAGAGAGGCCTTCAGAAAAACTAACCGTGTCGGTGACACTGTGATCACACTTCCAGTCCCGCAAACTGTTAGAAAATAAATAACTATTGTTTATATCATCTAGTCTGTGGTGCTTTGTTATGGCAGCCCTAGCAAACTAACAGAGTGGTACATAGCCATACATTTAAATTTTGAAGGTTGATATTGTATAGGAAATACATTTTGAGAAAGTCAACTACGAATTAAGGTATGAACAAAGAATTGTGCACCTTTCAAAGCAATACATGTGTAACTGGTTATATAGGTTTATCAACATTCATTTCAAAAACACAATACATAATTTTAAGAAAATGCTTTTTAGTTTTATTTTCTGGGAATGCTTTTGCACATTGAAGAGTTACCTTCAGATATTTCCTTAGTTTTTACAAATTTATAGTATGAATTTTACTACTTTTGATACCACATATAAGTGGACTCACATAGTATTTGTCTTTCTGTGACTGGTTTATTTCATATATTATAGTAGGTTCAAAGTTCCTCATGTTTTTATATATGACAGAATTTTCTTCTTTTTAAAAACTAAATAGTATTCCATTGCATGTATATACCATGTTTTCTCTGTCCATTCATATATCCATGGATACTTGTGTTGCTTCCCTCTCTTCATTCTTGTGAATAACGTTCCAAAGAACTTGGAAGTGCCAATAGCTTTTCAAAATCCTACTTTTCATTGTTTCTGGATAATTACCTACTAGTGACATTGTTGGGTCATATGTAAATTCTATTTTAATTTTCTGCCATGTGTGCATATTTGAGTGTGTGTGTATGTATGTATATGTATAAAGTTCTGTGGCAAAGGTCAATATACAGTCCAATATAGAGTTCTTTAACTTTGTAATGATTTTTATATATTTATATATGTGTGTATATATATATATACACATATATATATGTGTATATATTATATATGTATAAGTGTGCATATTTATGTTGTATGTATGTTATATATGTATATATGTTTATATAGGTATATGTGTGTTTGTATATATAAACACATATATACACGATTCTAATGGTTATGAGGTGATAGCTCATAACCTATTTAAGAAATGCTTTATATAGATAGATAGATAGATAGATAGATAGATAGATAGATAGATACACACACACACACACATACACACACACATATACACCACCCTAATGGTTATGAAGTGATAGTTCATTATATTTTTTATTTACATTTCTCTAATGATTAGTGATGTTGAACATATTTTTATTTGCTTTTTGACCATATAATATTTTTTGGATAAATGCATGTTCAAGTTCTTTTTTTAAAAAATTGTGTTGTAGTTGCTAAGTTGTAGAGGTTTTATATATGATTTTGTTTATTGAACTCTTCTCTCTTTTATCTTAAAATTAGTCTAGATAAAAAAATTTTAATTTGATTGTCCATTTGAAAACCTGACTCTTAGTTTGGTTGCTTTTTTTTCTATTCAGTATGTTATTTATTTCTGTTCTAATCTTTAATATTTTCTTCCTTCTGCTGTCTTTGAGCTTAATTTTTTTTCTCATTTCTTGAGGTGTAAATTTAGGTTATTCATGTCAGATCTTTCTTCTTTTTTATGTAGGTATTTACTAGAAACTTTTCTCATACCACCGTGCTTGCTAATCATAAAGTTGTTTCTTATTTCTTTTTGTGTATCTTCTATAAGTATTTTTTAGTAACTTTGAGGATTATATAAAATATTTTACAGTTTAAAAATGTATTTTAATTTGTTCAAAACTTGACTTCAATCACATAAGAAAACTCTACTACTATCTTCACTTTATGTTACCTGTATCACTATATCTTTTTACGTTGTGTAACAGTTCCTTTTTTACATAGACTTATTTAGATAGATTTATAGTTTTTTAATGTTTTTGCCTTCTAAATTCTATTCCAAAATTGAAAGTAATTGATACACCAACATGATAAAGCTGTATATTGAACTCAATGTTTACCTTTGCCGCAGAGTTTTCTATTGTATATGGCTTTTTTTTTTTTTTTTTTATGTCTAGCATCCTTTCATGTAAACTTGAAGGAGAGCATCTCTTATAGTGAGGTCTTATACTGACTATTTCTTCAATTGTTGTTTTATTTTTTATCATAGAAGGTATTCAATATTGTATAAATATTGAAAGTTATAAATCTGCCAAATAGTAGTCTTGTTTAGCAGATTTCTTTTTTTCTTTCAGCACTTTGAATATATCATCTAATTTACTTTTGATTTGGAAGATATCTGCTGAAATTCTTGTTGATACTCTTATTCAAGCTCACTTATATGTGATGAGTCATTTTTCTCTGATTTTTCAAGATTCTCTATTGTCTATGACTTTTGAAAATTTGACTTTAACCCAGTGTTTTCCACATTCCACTATGCGTTGGGATCACTGAGACACCTTTAACAATAGATAATCTTGGCTTTTGACCAATACACTTTATTGATTAATATGAGAAATGGGCATTGGCATTGTTATAATAAAATCTCCCCTTTTTTTCATGTGTAGCAAAAGTTGGAAACTCCTGTCTTAATCAATCTGATGCACACAAAATTTTTATATTTATATTAGAAATTAAATTTTCTGTTCCTCTCTGATAACTCATATAAACATTAGTCTCTCACTAAAAATCCTCTTTTTCAATATTTCTTTCTTTGTTTTTCATGGCTTTTGGGACTCTAAGCTAGCAGTTCCTTATAGGGAGAGGATAACAACCTTGAGCAGATTCTTGGAAAAGGACGAAATGGTTAGGGCAGAGCATATTACAAACACAAGGCAAGTTGGACTCTGATTACTGCTGATCTCAAAAAGCAATGCTAAATTGATGAAGAATGAAAGTCTTATGAGCAACAGCTCTTGAGTGGCAGGGAATCTCATAAAGGACCTCAGAGAGCCCCAGAGTTTTAGAAGGCTCGTGTAGAGACAGCTTCCCACCTATCACAGCATCTTAGCCAACTGCTGCATTTAATTACAAAGAAAAAATTAGATGAAAAAGAGATGTAAGCAGCCTTTACCAGATTATAATAAAATTATAAAAGTAAAACTACATATAGAAATAAAAATGTAAAAAGTTCTAAATACTTGAAAATAAATTTATTTATTAAATTTTAGTATGTGTATTAGTCATAAACATGTACTAGAATAAATATTTACATTTTTATAGTCATTTTACAATTGGAATTAATTTGGAAATAAACCTTTATTAATTTTTTAGTATTTTAAAATTTTCAGTAAGCCAATTAAGGTTATTTATTTAATAAATACAGAAATCAAAACTCACTGACTATAAAACGTAAAGAAAATAAAAAGTTTAACATATTTTTTAAATTGATATAAATATTATTAAAATATAAATACTATTTTAATGTAGAGATTTACATTGCTACATGATTATTATGATATACCATATATTCTTGGTCATGCAGATCTTGTAATATCTTAAATTATTGCATACAATTATTTAACAAACATATATCTAGAATATTGAGACTGAAAGACAATATAATAATCTTAGTTTTAGATTAAATGTATCTCTATTTTCCTACAGTGAATTATACTTTATAGATACTAAAAATTATGAATAAATAGTAATTCTTAATAGACATTTAAAACTTCATCAAGAAAACAGTCAAAAGTTTCTTAAAATTAGTATTTTTAATAAAATGTTTCCTGTGGTTACTTCTCCTAAAATAATCTGTTCATCTTGATCATCTTGTTGACATTTTCTCTCCATAGGAAAGGATCACTTACCCTTTTGTTTGAACACAGTAATGATAACTATCTCTTTCTCATTGAGGAGACAAAAAATATTGGTTGACTAAAGGCAGAAATGTAGGCCATTATATCTAGATGAGTTCTAGAGAAATACACTAAACCTTTTCTAGAGTAATGCACTATCACTATTATTACCAATTCATGGTCCAAGCCCAGTACTGTTGGCTATGTAAAATGGCTTATTTTTATCAAAAAAGCAACATTGTTATGTTTTTCATAACAAACTAATATCATAGAACACTTCCTTGATTTGTATAGTCTATTGCATCTTGTGAATTTTATACTTTTGACTTCTTTACATCTATTGATGTCAGCTCATATTTATGCACTACACAAGAGCCAGCAATTGTGAAGAAACATATCAACTAAGGTTTAAAAAATGTGACATTATGAAAATAGTGATGTCATGAATAGGACATTCTAGAATTATTAGTGATCTTGTGTCAGCAATGTATTAGAAAAGGATCAAATAGCCTAGGCAAATACAACAAAAGAGTGTGACACACACCCCAATTAATTATTTGTTTAAATTTTAGGATATAGAGCTAAGATAAAATATTGGTGTGGAAAATATGAAAATGAGGAGAAAGTAATGTGTTCTTTTTAAATTATCTGTGGCTGAAAAATTAACAAGATTGCTCCATTCTTGACTTTCCCAAATTCAGAAACATGTATTTCCTCTTTTTCTTCTTTCCTATTTTACCAAATTTTGGACAGAAAACCAAACAAAGTTTTGTGACCAAAAATATAGCCATTGCCACACAGACTAGCAAAAATACAGTCACATCCAAAGAGCAGCACTGGTACTAGGAGAAGTTATGGGCAGCTAGCCGAGGGTGCTTGGCTCCTTTGTGGCTCAGGACAAACTCGATCCAGAAAACTGCTCGATCCAGGGACTTTACAGGTTGATCATGGTGAATTCTCGATAATCTCACAGCATTCTCTTTATAACTGGAAAGCAAGATCACACATGGAAAACGTAGAGTTTTCTTTTGCTTTCATTAAAAAGAAGTAGGTAAACCATAGCATATGTTATGCAAGCCAAAAGCTTGTTGAATAAAAGATTGATTTTTGTTGTGGTATGAACTTTGTTGGTTGAATAGCACTGAACAGATATAGTGGGGAAATTGAAAAAGAAACATATTTTTACCAGAATGGGGTAAAATGAAGACATAGGAAAATACTTAGTAAGCTGATCTTTAATTTAAATCTATGGTTTCTAAGAACGAAGATTGACACTCTATGAACTAACATTTGCAGGACTATTGCAATATTAAGATGATGAATCACCTGAGATTGAGGGGAAAGATCTTTTAAATAGTCTTCCGGTAGGGCCCCTAACATTTTCTAGTATGATGTATAACATAATCAATGGTAGATAAGCCTTTTAAAGCAGTAATACTTACAAAATATCATTAATAACTGTTCTCAAAGACCTAAGCAAAACTGTGCTTGTAATTGTATTCATGTTCACCTGCACAGCTGCTCCTTTGGCTTTCATGTGAGAGGTGTTGTCAAGATGATCACCAAACATGGGAACTCCCACCACAGGGACTCCACGGTAAATAGCTTCATAGATCTCATTTATGTCACCTTGAATGATAAAAGCTTTGGTCTGGGAATGATCTAGTTGGGAAACTGAATGAGAAGTATAGCTTTTATTATCATAATCTGAAAAGAATTTCAGAGACTCGTAGGGAAAAAATCTATGAAATAACTCACTGAAGAGGGCAGAATTTTCTACAAATGTGAACAAAAAGGGCATCATTACAAAAGAAATTTGCTATCTTGAGGAAAAGAGGCATTAACTTTTTTCTCCATTGCTTGAAACTTTTACTTTAAAAATAGAAAGTAAGAATCAAAAAAATTAATGACCAATTATTTAATTATATGCACTTTAAAATTAAAAGTAAAGTAACAAACTATAAATTTTAAATTTTTGTTAAATTTATTAAGTGTTAAACAGTTATTCAATTTTCCCCTCATGAAATTCATTATTTTTACTTTGTCATAATCTTACCATGAAGATCACTCTGGGATATCCAAACATAGGGCTGTGTATTGGCTCCTAACGCAGTTGGTTTCTTTCCTTTGAATCTCCATAAAACCTGAGGAAGAAAATGTATGCATTTCACAAGCTAAACCACAAGATAATAGCATTTTGAGTTTTCAGAGCATTATAATTCATACAATCCACTCTATTTCAGATGATATTTGAGACAGGGGTATATAAGGGTCCTTTGTCATCACTGAAAGAAATAGTAAGACTATTGACAGTCACCTTTTAAAAGGGTGTATACCATTCAACTATTAAGTATACCATTTGTTATTTTGTTTACTGCAAATTCAAAGCATCTAGGAGTGAGATTATAAAAATAACAAAAAAAGCAGTGTTGCATAATTTGTCGCATATGGAAGTTAAGTATTCTTATGGACACTCAACTTCTGTGTAAATGTAAATCACTTGGCCATTCTAGGTCTTTTATCAAATTTACAGTTTCCCAGAGACAAATATTTCTTTGGTTTTTGTCTGGTTTTGGATAGTTGGTTGTCTTTTCTCTTTATGCCTCCTTCTCTCTTTTATTTCATTTATTTCTAATTCAAAAACAAAGAGACAGGAGTTACCTATATTTCTTTGTTCAAAGTTAAATTTTGTTTGTGTTTGTACCTTAGTTCCATACTTTTTTCTTCCTGGAAACCTACATGAAAATCTTGCACTTGAAAACAAAGGATTACATAGATAGTTTGAACTCCCAAAAAGAGAATCTCATGACTAAAACTAATTTCACATTCCTAATTAGCATACTTGCTTTTATTGAGTGTTTTTAAATTAAACAAAACATAAAATTAAAGAAAAACCTCTTGGCTAGTGTATAAATAGCATTAACTAAAGAGAGGAAAACTGGAATTACATTAATAACAAAATTAATTGAATATCATAAAGTATTACATGCAGGTTGTCAGACTATATTAAAATCATAATTGCCTTCTAACTATAGAAAGCTCTAGTTCATTAGAAAGACGACATAAATCTAAGCTTCTACTTTTATGTTCAAACACACTGAATAGAGTTCCTATACAATAATATATGCTGAGGATACTATTGGCATGATTCTTCACTTTCTGATATCATTCCCCAGTTTTTATGTTCCTTTGAGCTAGTATACTTAAGAAGTTTCCTTTGGAGTCATCAGAGTAGGTCTTAAGATTTCAAATCCTGCAATGTGAAATAGGTACTTAATGCATTATTTTTATTTTATTATTAACAAATGACAACTAGGAGATGTGTTACTAAAGTAATAGCAAAGATCATAGGCAAATAATCAGTTGTGTCCACATACACTACCATAATGCTTTCCAAATCGTTACGTAAATCTAGTGCTTGTTATGCAAACTGAAAAACGAGATTCAAGTTCCAAATGAAAAGCCATACTTTTTCCACTGTGTGAATAGCTTCTTATAAGGATTAGAAGTTGTACTGACTTTTTGCGGAATCTGAGCCAGGGCTGAAGTGATAAGATCAACCTTTTCTTCTGTAAGGTTTTGCAAAACTGACTCCAGAGAAAACACAAAAATACCACCTTCATCAGAGTTCTGGACAAATTCTTCCATTTCCTCCAGAGAAGAAATTGTCTTCATCTTTATAGATGCAATACCACATAGAATAATATAGTTGATGTATACTTCTGAAATAAAATTTTGAAGTTGTCATATACATAGTTATATTGTCCCTATATTCTGAGATGCCTTTTAGAATAGAAATGATGAAGTTTGTGTTAGAAACATATGGCTTCAGTACATAATAATTATTTACCAGAAAAAGCACACAACCAAATAATTATACAGAACGTTTAAGTGAGAAATGTCCAGCTCATTTAATATTTAGTAGACATCAAACGCTAAAAACATAATGGATTGTAAACTCATAAAACTATTTCAACAATATCAAGTGTCAGTTTGTTGACATTTTGTGATGTAAACAAAATAAAAAAAGTTAAAAAACCCAACATCAATTCCCCCACAAATGTACAACTAGTAGCTATCCAAATACAAAAATGCCACTCTGAATTCACCAGATCTCAATAGAGAAGGAGAAAACCCCAAGACTCATGGACATGAGAAAACTTATGATTGGTAAGATGAATAATTTTTTGGACGGTACCACCCGCCTTCCACACACCAAAATGACACCACTGTGAGAGAACTTCCTTTTACCTGTGGTTATTGAAATGGGACGAGGGAATTTCAAGTGGACATATAATTTCTTCATAGATCTGTAAATTTGGGGGGAAAGCCCACATTTGTTCCACCACACAGGAGGTATTAAGAGTATTCATAGGGCTGAACCACCTGGGGTAAATTTGAGACCAAAAATGAGAGTAGTAATCACAGTGATCGCCACAGAGATCTTGACGTCTGCTTTGCGTTCCTAGCTACAGGGACACCACACTGAGGAGTCTGACCAGAACCATAGCAATGCAGGGACAAGATCTAAAGGAAGGTTTGAATCTTTGACAAGATTTTTTACAATTCCCAGGTAGTCATGTGGAGATTTTCCATGACGGGGAAGCAAGTAAAAGGTTTGAAATTAAGTTCCAAGGATTGTTTAAATCTCTCCCAGACCTAGAAAACTCTGCAAGTCTGGTTTTAAGTTCCAGTACAGCATTTAAGTTCAGATGCTCCCAATAAGTCTCCCGAGACTGGAAAACAACATTACAGCAAATATTGACTTTTGGTGCAGTATTAAATTCTGGTGGCAAATATTAAGTCCTTGCCCAAACAAAAAGCAACTGGTGGCAAGGAATTAGATTCCAATAAATAGAAAAGGTTGACACAAGAGTACACCTATAAAATACACCTACAACAAAAGAATACACCTATAAAAGCTAGAACATGTGGGTATCTCTTTAAATATGGAAACAGCAATGTACAGATGAAAGGAAATACGATCCTGCTAAAAAACAACAGAACTCACCTAATGCAGAAGAAATAAATACATATAAAATTTCTGACACAGAATTCAGAGCACATCTTTTCATAAAAGAAGTCAGGAAACAGATATAAATGGAAAGTTAAAAAAAATCATTTGTAAAATGTTTAAAGATTAAGAAGAGAAAAGTTGTTTTTTTTTAAATACATAAATTGAAAAAGATTCAGCTAGAATACCTATAAAAAGAGATGACTCAAATAAATTAAATAAAAGATGAAAAGGATACATAACAACTAATACAGAAAAATACAAAGGATTATAAGTGACTATTATAAACAAGTATCTGCCAACAAATCAAAAAATCTAAAAGATATAGACAAAATTTTTAGACATGTACAACCAATCAGGATTGAATTATGAAGAAATAGAAACCTGAGGAGAGAAATAATGAGTAACAAAATTGAAGCAGCTATAAAAACTAACATAAAATGTACTAATTTTATTCAAATTATTAAAAAAATAGTTAAACAGTTTTTCTAAAATGTTTCTTCCAAAACATTAAGGAGAACTGAATGCTTTAAAAAATAGGGTTTTATGGTTGGGTTAAGGATCACTTTGATAACAAAACCAGAAAGAAGGAGCCAAAAGAATAAAAAAAAAAAAATACAGAAAAAAAATCTGTAGGCCAGTTTTTCTGATGAACATAGATGCAAAAGTTCTCAGCAAATATTAGCCAATAAAATTTAACAGCACATCAAAAAGATTATACACTATGATGAACTAGGATTTATCTCAGGGATGCAGGGAAGGTTAAACCTATGCAAACCCATAAATGTGATACATAACACCAAGAGAATTAAGAAAAAAACATATAATTTTTGCATGTCTTAAAAAAATCTTCTAATATACAGCAGAATGATTTTAACACAAAATGCCACGTAACCAAGATAGGGCAAGCTTGAATGGAGAGTGACTGTCTGACGTGTACAAACATCCTTTTAGGTTGGTGACAGTTTTGGATCTAGATTGAAGTGATACTTACACAATACTGTGAATGCCACTGAATTGTTAACTTTTAAATGGTTAAAACAGTACATGTTATTTTATGTAATTTTATCTCAAATATTTAAAGAAAACGTGTAAACATGTGGCTGACAAAATTTTGAACAGAGGACCCAATTTATTTGTCAACCCTTGGTTAATTAAATTATAATAAATTTAATTCTGACATATTTAAAATAGCAAATGCTATCATTTTTATCATTTACTTTTGAAACATGATACATTTAAAAATATATGAGGCAACTTAGGTAAGGACTCAAATCATAGTGGAAATTTTTCTGTCTAGCTAATAATTATTATAATTAATGCAATTTTAGTTTGCTACATACAGCAACTGTAGTGCTTTACCAAATTAATGCATCCATCCTCTCATCAGCCACAAGATAATGCCATTACTTCATCTCCATTTCACTGATGGAGAAGTTGAGGCATAGAGGTGATCCAATTTGCCAAACCCCATATAATTCTGTAGTGGTTTTGCAGGGACTTGAATCCAGCCTAACTGGATCCAGAGAGCAAGAGCTCTTAATCACCATGCTATGCTGACCTCCCTTTCTGGATTACAGTTATTTTCAAAATGTCACATTTGTAGTTTTCATTTTCTTGCCTCAATATTAGTTATATATAATTATGAATGTATAATTAAATTTTTAGAAATATCATTTTAGTTAACTCTCACTTCATAACCAACTACCCTCAAATGTGGGGACTTTGAAAAACAATAAGCATTTTATTACAACTCCCATAACATGAGTGTTGGGTGGACTCAGCCAGGTGGTTCATACAGAGTATTTCTCAGGTCGTTACTTTCATATGACGGCTGGAGATGTAATCATCTGAAGGTCATTCATTCACATACTTAGTGATTAATGGTGAAAGACTGAAACTCCTTTTTGACTGGATAATCATGACTTCCTAGTCACCTCTGTGCACTACTCCCGAAGCTGTCATTTATCGTCAAGACTTTGGCTGTAACACAGGGCTCCAAAGTGTACAGAGGGAGAAAAAGAGAGAGAAGAAGGACAGAGAGGAAGAAAGAGATAGAAGTAAAAACAAAGACAGAAAAGTGGACAGAGAGAAGGAGACAGAGATAATGTACTGTGTTTTCTAACACAGTCTTCAAAATTGCGCTGTCAGTTATACTATACTTTCTTTGCTGACACAGCCACAAGCTTTGCTAAAGTTCAAGGGTAGGGACCATGGTTTGATTAGAATGTCAAAGTATTTTCAGTCATGTCTCAAAATCACCAAAATATAAGCTGTTGAGTTAGTCAACAGAAGTCACTGTGCAACTAGCAAATTCATTATATATTGACAATAGAAACACTGTAAAATCACAAAAATGTGTGAATTTAAAATTTTGCAACTATTGAAACTTTTATTATGCATTGTAAAATATTTATTCATACATAGTTTAAATACAAAGTAGGTTTCCTATGAACAGGCCTCAAATTAATCATATGGTATAGAATACTGAGGTGATCATAAGTGACTCAATTCTTTCCCATTTATTCTACTGCAGACACATACACATCTACAAGAAAAGATGACATAGAACAATATATATAGCCTAGTATAAAATGATGGAATAGCCAGGCTTGGTGGCTCACACCTGTAATCCCAGCACTTTGGGAGGTCATGGTGGGCAGATCACCTGAGGTCAGAAGTTCGAGACCAGTCTGGCCAACATGATGAAACCCTGTCTCTACTAAAAATACAAAACTTAGCCAGATGTCATGGCAGGTGCCTGTAATCCCAGCTACTCGGGAGGCTGAGGCATAAGAATTCTTTGAACCAGGGAGGCAGAGTTTGTAGTGAGGAGAGATTGTGCCCCTGCACTCCAGATTTGGTGTTAGAGTAAAAACAAACAAACCAACAAAAATTGAAGGAAGGATGTTTACCGACTGTTACAATCAGAGGGAATTCTGTGACTAGATGCTTGTAAGAGCTGTGAGAAAATGACTTTTGGGAGGAAAATTAATGAGACATAGTCTCTAGAAGTAGGGAGCAAAATTTACTCTACAGGGTGCAATGACATCCTGTTAAAAAATAAGTAAGGAAAAAAATGTGTGGAACTAGAGATCTCCCTAGACTGCAGAAGAGACAATTGAAAAAAAATTGTGAAACGATGTTCCTACAATACAAAATGTGAGGGATGTTGCAGAAAGCAGCACCTGTTGAAGATTTCCTCAAGAAAACGACATGAGGAACTGAGCAGTCATACACAATTGTAAGATTTACACTCAAGGATTCTAGATAGAGGGAACAATCAGAATGAGATTTTGATTTTTGATTTTTATGTTGATTTTTTAAGGCATTTCTCAGTCCTCCAGGTTGGAGTGCAGTGGTATGATCACGGCTCACTTCAACCTCAACTTACTGAGCTCAAGTGGTTCTCTCACCTCAGCTCCATGAGTAGCTGGGACCACAGGGGCATGCCACCACACTCAACTAATTTTTTTTATTTTTTGTAGTGAGGAGCTCTCATTGTGCTGTCCATGCTGATTTCAACCTCCTGAGTTCAAACAGTGTTCTCATTTCACACCCCAAAGGGTTGAGATTACAGATGTGAACCACCATAACTTTACAAAATGAGATTTTTAAATAAGTATGATTCAAATGTTCAGAGATTAAAGAATCCATAACCTAAAACAAGAATGGGATGAGGTGAGAAAGATGAATACAAAAATAATTAGATATTTTTGAAATCAGAAATGTGCTCCTTAATTATATGAAATGTTGGTTGATGACATAAAGTGGAAATGAATGATTAACTGATACAGCCCCCAAGAAGAATCACTTAATGCCCTCGAAATTACCAGTAAACTGATTAAAATCTAAACGTGTTCCTTGTTAACACCTTCTGTTAAAGCTTTCCTGATTAGTTTTTCTTCCAAAACTCTCTTGTTTCTAGTTGTTTTCTTGGTCCTAACTACCCATTATATGCTTTGTTAAAGTATTTATGCCCTGATTGAATATGGTTGTCTCAATTTTTATTTCATCCTGTCCTTCCTCTTGCAACCTGAATGTCCTTATTATTATTTATCAATCCAAATGCAAACTTCACCTTGTCTAAGGATTATTCATTGATTTTTACTTGTTTATCTGGCCTTTATTCATTTTGCTTTTTTGCTAGTCACTGTGAGCCATGGTCATGGTGACTTAGGATTCTGGATCTCTTATGAATAATAAATTTATCCTCAATAAAGCCTCTATACTAAAGAAGAATCTAATGAAAAATAGAACTTGAAAAAATGAAAGCAGTACATGAACAAAGTTCTGACTGTATCAAAAACCCAAAAGTGACTAACAATGAAATCAATGATATATCTTCATTTACTTTGAACTGGTAAACATTCATATTTATTATAGGTAAAACATCAAATAACTGGTGACTCCAGTGCTGTTTTGTTGGGAGTATGAATAGAGTGGTGATATGTGAAGGACACACATGGGCCAGCACAACAAGATTCCCTCTAACCAATTTCGAGCTAGCAACTACTGAAATCAAAAATCCAACATGCTAGTACCACACTTCTTAATATATAGTTGGACATTAGGCAAGTGATCACCAGTGGAACTGTGGACTCAGTGGGCCAAATCTAAGCTCACCTTTCTCAGAACCTCTATATTCCCCCACTTTCAAAAATGTTATTTTCAAAAGAAAGTCATGCCTCCTACTCATCCGAACTTTACCAAGATTCAGTGCCCAAGGGTACAACTTTTAGAATAATAACAAATGAGAAATCTGAAATGTTATGCCTCACCAGTTTTCAATGTATTGTCCCTCAGATCCAAATATAGCTTTATGATACTGAAACAGGATCCCGTAAGCATTCCCCCTTTGCCAGCTATCTGGATGTTAAACTTCATCCATAGAGGACACTGGAGTGATGGTAAGGTGCTTGATGCAGGAAGGTGCATCCCTTCCAAGACTCACTCTTTAGTTATTCAGTAAAGTTTATCATTAATATTGGAGTTTAAGAATATGTATGTTAAAGAATATACTTAAGAATACTAAGGAATACTCTTAAAGAATATAAGAGGAAAACT